AATATCCAGGTGCAGCGTCTATACTCTCAGTAACAAACTTAATCAGTCTTAGAAAGAGAACCAAGGCTCTAATTAATCAAACAAATATATATTGAACTAGTACAATAAAGGATTCAGTTTCTTGTATGACCTAACTATTAACTGAAAATATGAAAGTTAATTACGTATTAAGTAAATTTTGACTTTTGGTTTTGTGTGTTGAATAAACTATCTTGATAATAATATATTGTGTATACAAATTAACATCTTGATTGTAAATCGAATGCATTAGAGAGAGATACTAGATTTGGGATCTCATTTGCAAGGTATATCAGTTATCGTTTATTTTGAATAACTTTAGTAACATAATCTTGAAATTCTGCGTATGAGACAAAGAATGTATTGGTATCAAATTATTTAAATCAGACACTGGAAAGAGATATTATTAAACAAGATAACCGTAGCCATTGCAAAGATTGAGATCCACGAGCCAATCTCCGATAAAGTGGTTGTACTTTTGCACACACATCCTAGAATGCTATCTGCTTCTGCATCTCGCTACCATTGTCAGCCAAAGCTCTCGGGACCGCTTTCCTTTCTCAAAGATGTTCTACTAGCTCGATCTTATCGAACACGTACTCTGTTTATTATGATTTCCTCTGATCGTATCGGGGGCCAAAAAGAGACAGTTCGCATGCATATAGAAAATGTTTTGACAGTTTTATATATATATATATATATATATATATATATACATATATATACATATAGTGTTTGTTTTCTAATTTTATTCTGATGAAACTTAAGGGCGATGTGGCCAAACTGGCTAACATAGACAACCGCGTGTTGTCTATTAAACTGATAGATAACCAAAGTTGGAGACAATAAAATTTTACGAGTACCTGAGGGTCTTTTAAATTCCCCGCTCTCACACTCTGGCCTGAGAAAACCTCTAAAAGGTAAGATAGGGAGAAACAAAAAAAAAAATTACATCAATTAAACTACATATTTCTTTTCAAGAAAGTTAGTTTAGTAAAAAGATAAGAATGGTTGTAACTCTCCAATTACAAAGATAATGTGATCAGCGATTTGGTTATACATCTACTCATTTCTCGATCCGACTGATTACGAAATATATCTAACAGAGCTATCTAAGTACCTCCAGAAACTATTTCGGTTATTTTAATTTCCTTTGTTTCTCTTTTATATATATATTTTTTTTTTTATTCGGATGGCACTACAGACCATGAAGATCTTTGGCCACGAGATGTGGTCTCCTTACAGACGTGTGATACTTGCGGGAGCTCAGACGGCCTGGAGGTGGTCACCCAACCTCACAAACCATGGTTTCCATGGTGCAGCGGCAGGCTACCCATAGCTCCATAGCCGATTCCTTTGGGGCCAATCTGGCAATGTCCTTCCCACCGACTTTCTCGGGTTCAAAGACAGTGACAAATCGGTCTAGATCCATGGATTATGGCTGCTCGGAGTCAGCAGGCGCACGAGGACCTATATTTCTTTCCCCGAAACAGACCGTCCATGGACCGAACCTCAGTGAGTTGCCTCCAGTAGAGTAAAAATGACATAAAATGTAGAATAAAATACATTAATTATTAAAATTAATATTTCATATTCTTACTAATAGTTCAGAAAAAACTCTCTATTTACTTGATTGCCTATTTACTAATAAGGAACAACGAAAAACTACTATCAATTGTTGTTCTTCAGAGTAGAAATGTTTGTATAGAGTATCCTACTGTTTTGTAGACCTTACCTGATAAAACCACAAGGAATCGATATAGCGGCCTAAGCCCTTAACAGGCTTTACGAATCCGCAGGCAAACAAAAGAAAACTGTACCACTACAACCTATGAAAAGCCTTGGGCTCAATATTTGGGTCCACAATTTTTTATTAACAGATAAGGGAGCGGTGTGGTTCTGAAAGGTACTGTGTCTTAGGCGTGACAAATGATACATTTCCTTATCTGAAAGCGGAAGTATTTTTCTTTTGGTATAGTGCATAGTTTTTTATAAAATGCATAAGTACTTAATTATCTGTTTACCAATATCAACTTCACTCCAAATTTGAGCCAACTTTGAACAGGCGGTTTTAGGGATATAGTCGTATCAAGTGAAACACGTTTGCGCATATATAAGAGAAAGTAATTGACAGAATTGAATAAAATTCACACTAAATTATTTTTTTACCAATACCTTTTGTCTATTTTTGAACCAAATCGAACGAAACTTTGCTGAAATATTGTCATATCGGACAAAATACGTTTGCTCGTGCGTGAGCGAAAGTGCTGCGTGGAATCTGATAAAATTGATATGGGTCCATTTAGGTACCTAAAACTTTCATGAAAATCGGATGAACGGTACTAGTTGATATGTCCGTCACATCAATTTGACTTCAGACAGACAGACACAGAACTAAATTTTATCCTTAATGTCTGAAACTTAAACCGCGAGTAAAAAGTTTCAGTTCTAAGCACAAATTTTTTTTTAACCTCACGCACAAACACGATGTTCTCTTACCTTTGGTAGGAAGGAAGCAAAATAATATCTTCTTTAATTTTGGCTTGATGTTACAGGATTGAATTTTAATTTTACAAAAAAAAATAACGTTTTCTTCCTGTATACTTCATTTATTTTTCACTTTTTGCAACCGGTATCGGACCTTCATTAGGCCAACTGATGGTGGTCCTCCTCTCCTGCTTTTCAGTTGTTCAAAATTGAAAAATAAATGGAATATACAGGAAGACATCCTTTTTTTTTTGGAAAATTAAATAATATCTTGTTTTATAAATGTAACTTCAGCTAAGAAATGAGCTTTCTAAGAGGAAACCCATGCAATAAATATTGTAGTAACCTCGTATCTCTGAAATTTGCTTAATTTCATATTTTATTTTTTTTTATTAATTGATATTTACAACTGTACTAAAAAAAAATACAACCAGTAAATGTGCACAAAGTAATAATACAATCACATGAAAACGCTTGTTGAGGAACTACCCATTGGAGCACTCTACTAATATATTTACATAAGTAGATTATCTTCTTTTCGAACGCCTCGCAGGTTATATTTTAAAATAATTTTTCAAATTTGACAATCCTATTAAAGAAACATTCGCGGGCCGCATTGAAGGTGCTTAGTTTGGGGCGTAGCTTGGTGAACCTTGTACTTGAACATCCATGGTTCGTAGAGGTACAAGCTTCTTTTATTAAGCAAAATGATTTCATGTATATAAGTGGGATTAGAGCCCACATTTATTTATTACTGAGCCCATGTCTGGTTTTTAGATTATGATGAATAAAGATTTCTTTTTAATTCACACCTGTATTATTTGCCGATATGTACCTCTAATTTACAAAAAATAACCTGTCCCACTTCTGGCCTACATCTATAAAAAAGATTACAGATTTTACAAGACGGATGACAAGGACAAAAGTGGCGGAACACAAATAATATCCACCTAATGAGAGGAAACAAAACGTCGGTGCCGTAATGAGACGTCAAGGAGAGACGATCTCGTTAGGGTTACGACATTCGTTAGACCGCAGGCGACTAATGGTTCCTCAGCATCCAAAGAGCTCTGTTTCACATCCTCCTTGCAAATTGACCTGGATTATACAGACCTTATGATTATATAGGATACGTTTATCATATGAGAAAATACAAGAACATGAAAAAATTCAGTACTAAAATATTTAATAGTTGTTTAGTAGTAGCATGTCGTCCTTAGCATGTCAAAATGACAAGGTTATATAGGCCAAATGGCCCAATATAAACTCCACCTATTTTTATCTAACTATGTCACCTATTTTTTTATTTTGTAATTTAATAATCTTACGATTCAAGTGGAAAGAAATTGGGTATTTATAAGTTTTAGTACTTCATTAAATTAATTGTTTATGAGAAATTTCATAGATAAAAAAATTTTAAGTTATTATAAGCTGAAGCCATTCACATGTTATAGGCGGATGTTAATAATTTGATAAAAGGGGGATGTATTAACATTATTAGGACTATAAGCACAATAGAAAAAAAAAACTAAAAATAAAGTCACGTATAATGAAGAAACTAGGATTTAATACTGTACTTGCAGCGGCACACCTTTTGAACTAAAAAAAAAAAATCATAAATATTTTATGAAAGATGTGATATAGCACAATCGAAGCCCATATTTATTCAATATATACAAACCAAATAAAATTTTTCTCAGACATAATCTTAAATTTCGATTTTTATACCAAATTGACAATATTTGTCTTCAATATTTAATAATGAAACTAAGTATTATTGAAGGGAACCCTGACATATTCTTGCACCTAATATGAGAAACCTAGTTGTACTTGATAGGGAAGTACTATTTCTTGACGAATGCTTTTACTAGGAGACGTTTTCAAGATCCATGCTCAACCCTCAATCACCGAGTTAATCCCCGAACCCAATGGGAGACCATATACTGTCTTGGTAGACCACAGAAAGATATCATAACATCCATGCCTGTTATTAGAAAATTAATAAATTATGTGCCACAGTTGAATTCGATCGGGACCTAGGACTCAAGCACTCATCGCATTCCTTACGAAAACGTCTTTTTTATTTTAGAAGTTTAGATTTATGTATATTAATATTATTCAGAACCACAAACATTTTAAAATTGGAATTAATAAAATGAAAGCCATAAAATGTCAATTAATCAATAGTTGGAATTATGTGACTTAAGAGCCTAACTTGAATTTGCTCCAAATGGATTGTTGATCACGTCATTATTCACAGTAGTGACATTAACTACATATTTCTATACCGTTATTTTTAAGATTGTTGACAAATATAAATGTAAAGGCTAACAATTTAAATCTTATATTGCCATTTCAGGAAGTATTTTGTGCTCGATAAGTGTCACGATTGAAAATAGAAAAAATCCGAAACCTAGCGTTCCCAAAGAGAATCAAAATATTTCCACCTAACCTGTAAATAAACGTCAAAGTTTAAATAAAATATGTCAGATGTGCTTTTTTTTATAGGTTTTAGTATATAAGTTATAATATAGATTTGTATATCTGGAAATTTAATTCATGTTTTCTAGCAGAATGCAGCCCTTTTTATTCATTCCAGGAGACCTAAGAAGTTCTCTGATTCAAGGAAGATTTCCCTTACGCCATTTGTTCTTTTTTTCTGCCTCTGACCATTCCTTTAGCAGAAATAATATTAAACAAAACTTGTATATATTTTATCGTGGTAATCCTGTCAAAAAAAGTATTAGAACTATATTTCCCTCTCATGCTTCAAGACATTCGTGTAGTATATCAGCAGAAGTTAATGGAATGCATTGGTTAAGGTAAAATTTATATTAACTAGCATTTTAAAGCTCTTTTTGTAGTTTATTAATATTTCTTGCGGTGATACTTTTTTCAAGCAATTTAGCAATATATTTTACAAAAGTATAGGGGGTAACACTAAGGGCAAAAGTTAAGCTGGATAGAAAAACTATCAGTAACATAACTAGGTTAGATAAGTAAACCTAAAAGGCGAGAAAAAAAAAAAGACTAAAGGTTCGATCATCACACCATACAATCATTAAATGTTCGAACATAACGTACTATGCATAAAACTATTAGAACTGTTGATAAGGCAACTAAGTAGCAAATAGATTTTCTGGTGGCATAATCAGTAACCAAACCTAACTTTTAGAAATAAAGCTTGATTACACGCTATCCAAACCTTGGCGAGCATGAATGGATAAACATGTCTTCTTCCACGAGTTCAGTCAGTCAGTTTTGTCAGTTTTTGGCTCAAAACAAAGGATAAAAGTGCTAGCGATGCTTGATATCTCAATACATATTCGCGTTTCCGCTTCATTTTTTTTTAAATATTTGTAGTATTTTTATCTAGGAGTCGTTATTGAACATTAAAACCAGAACCCCTCTAAACATTCAAAATTCGGTTTTATGCCATATCATAGATTTAGTACGTAAATGGTCTGTTTTGAAGACTTGTACTTTCTAGATGTCGGCTTTTACTTGCTAGGAAAGTGGGCTATTGATATTCAACTGTCATAACTCGTAGATTTAGACCGATTTGATTCAGTCTTTGAGCCCAACTGAATCGGTGAACTAGTGAAAGGTGTAAATTTTATGTTAAAACAGTCTAGTTGTTAACAAAAAAGAATAAAATATTAATGGTTTTCGTAGGGTGGTATATCAAATTATTACAAATCTAATTATCTATTTGTAATAAAAATAGGATTTATATGAAATTCCTATATTCTAAATTAGGTTTACAACTAATCGTGTTGGCAAATTCTATCATGAACATTAATATGAGCGGGCTAATAATGAACATGTAACTGGAGAGTATTGGTGTTAGACATTTCACCTGAGACAACCAAGCATTTTCGTAGTTTTTGTTCGGTTTTCAATTTCCCTATACAACTTTTTAATTTCTTTGAGATCAGATTTTATTATTTATATAATAAATTTAATTGGACACACAGTTGGTAAAAAATTTTATCTTAAAACGACAAAACCACTAATTTAGCAAAACTGTTTTCCTGTCATTTTAAATATACAAAAAATCGTAAACAACAATCAAAAACATATTTTGGACCTGGCATGTTAATGATATATATGATAAAAATCTGGTGAGCGGAACACACAACTTTCACTTACCACTCAACTTTGAATATAAATTATTTTCTATCCACGTTGTGCTACTATAAAATTTTTAAATTGAATTATTAACTGATCTAAAGCTAAAATCTTATAACTGACAAATCGTAAATATTATTAAAATATCAAAAGTCCTATTTATTATATCACAGATTGTACGATTCATTAATTATGGTGTGTACAGTTCGTTGATTATGGATGGTACGACTATAATTTATTAAACTGTTACTTCCTATTGAAAAGTTTACTAAAACGGAAATAAGAAATTTGCATTGTCTGTCATAGACAGGTCAAAAGTTGTCACACTGATTGTAAGTGGATTCTGTTGGAATATCGCAAAGGGCAAATTTATCAAATTATTCACTAATTTAATTTTCTAAAAGGTTACATGACAATATTCGGAATAAATGGACGATAGATATCTAATTATTTAAATATAATATCAGATCTAGAGTCGTTTAACTACAGTAAATATATTTAAGGTTATAAATGTATCTATGAAATATTTTTATATTTCACTTATTCTTTAACACAAGTACAATTAAAGAGTAGTGGGTACTGTTAGAATATCGCAAAGCGAAGATTCATCAAATTATTCACTAATTTAATTTTCTAAAAAGTTACATGACAATATTTCGGAATAAACGGACGTTGATACCTAATTATTTAAATATAATATCAGATCTAGAATTAATAAACTAAAGTATATGTATTTAAGGTTATAAACATATGCTTCATTCATCCATAGAATGATTTTATATTTTACTTCTTCTTTCACACAATTACAATGAAATAGTTTTAGAAGCAATTTCACTGCCTTGATTAGGTGAATTTTAAAAAAAAATTTCAAACTTAAAAATATTTTAAGGTTACATTTAGTTAGTAAAATTCATTTAATTTCCTTTAAAACATATGATCTGCCTTAAATATTATTACTTTTCAAAAATTATTATTTATAATTTTTTTTGCCATTCCCCGGTACCTTCTACAACTTTCTATATTACGTATTGTTTTTTTCTAAAATTCTCCGCTTTCCAACGATATATTATACGTATACCTTCTGAGTAGTATTTCCGGAGATTCATTTTGGACCTCAATAAGCATTTTTTTTTTCTCCTTTATTTAATTATCAAATTCTTTCAAAAGTCATATTTAGCATTTTTTCGTAACTCTTAATAATCAGAGATTGTTAATTATTTAAAATAAATCATATTAAAGGTTCTTTAGAGGAAGACGCCAATGAACATTCGGCATTTAAGCCCTATAAAGGGACATCAAAGGGAATAAGACCTAAATGATATCAAAGACCACTCAATTATAGAATGATACACTGAATTTAATCAAAATCGCTAGAGCCGTTTTTGAAAAAATCGTAAAAATGTAAAAACCGTTTATATAAAGTGGCCCTTCTGGTTAGCCGATTTTAAGGAAAAAGGTGATGTCAGATCTAAGGCTTATACCTATCATAAATACATAATATCAGTTTCGACTTTTTGTTTTTTTAGTTACACTGCCAACACATAAACACACAGACCATTTTTCGGGACTTGGTTATTTGGACTCAGAGTACCCCAAAACGTGTATTTCCGTTGAAAACTCAGATTCAAGAATTTTAACTATCGCAATACTTACCCTTAATATACATTACATATATACGTAAGTGAAAGTAAAAAATAAATATCGCTTTTGAAAAATCAAAATCAACCCGTTAGCAAAATCTTATTAAAAAACCGAAAATTCGTTAGGGCAGTGCCTAAAACAATTCATGTCTTTATAAACGCTGGTTTAATGACCAAAATTGAATTCTTGTCTTCGTCTTCAAATAGGCTGATCATCTGTTTTATCAAAACTCGTTAAATATGTTTGGAACGCAACAAAACTCTACAATTTGATTGACAACTGTTTTATCTAAAAGTTATCTGAAGAATTTCAATTTTATTATATTTCTAATTTATCAGACTTATTAGAATGTTAAAGAATTGAAACGGTTTCTTTCGTTCCTTAAAAGTAAAGTAAAAATTCCTTAAATTGAAAATATATTTTATTACTTATAATTTTATCATTATTAATCAGGAAATAATTCTAGATTAATTCATAAAAAATAAAACGTATTTATAATATGTATGTCCTTCATTTATATCATCAAAAACTTTTAAGTTTCATTATGTTATTCTTCTACTTTGTAAAATCTAATTTATGTTTCATTCTAATTTTGGTTTATATACTTACTTTTTAGCTCATATACTTAACTATTACAAGCTATGTACTTTACTATAGCTACAATAATACAATATTTTTTTATTTTTTTACTTATTCACACCTGTCATAATGGTAATGACAACCAGTGAGGTTTCACTAATATCTAAACATGTTTTTATTTTAATTACTTGAATTTAATTAATTAATTAATTTAAGTTTATTAAAAAAATTTGAGTTTTTTTTTTTGTTTTTTTATCGTCTCCTTAACTGACTTTCTGTAATTCTTATGAATCTAATACTACCTAAATTAAAAAAATGCATTTTTTTTTTTTAATTTTCTTGAAAATTAGGATTTCATCTTAGAATCAATGTCAAGAATTCAACAAAATATTTGTTGAATTTAATTATCTGTTTGAGTATTCCGACGATTTAATTCAAAACGTTATTACGTAATATCTCATTAAATTAAATCCTTTTGCACTTTAAAAATTTTCCCTTTGTTACATGAAAATATTATAAAATTGGTGTAATTATACTTGATATATAAAATCATTGTTGGCAATTTAATGGTATTTATTGTGTTTTTGTAATCATAAATAATGATGAAATTCATAAAAGCGTACTTAAAAAAAAGTTCAGCTCCATCAAAAATGTAGTTAATGCCTTTTTCGAATAAACCAACTGTTAACGCGGCATACACTCATAGTCTGTGGGCCAGACCCGCTTACCGTGCACCCACCCCCCCCCCCCCACATCCCTATAAATTGCATATCATTGTGTTCCTTGTGAAAATTTATTAAAAAAAAAGCCAATGTTCCCACAAAAAAAAGTGAACGAACTGCCCCAAAATGGCGTCCAAACATGGCGGATTGACGACTTTGACTTTAGTTAGTTTTTTTGTTACTGAGAATCAGCATTTGGCTTAATTTCATTATAGTTGGTCTTTTATTAAAGCTGGATAGCCAGAGAATAATAAAACATGAAGAAATATTAAAAACTAATTGGCTTAGGCATTAAAAAAAATCGGTAAAGTCAATTTTTTTTACAAAAACATTTTCAAGTTGAAAATCAAGCGTCGTTTGTAATTAAACGGTCAACAATAATGCAAAACGTGCTGAAATAAAACATCTGGAGAATACGTTTCTCTTTCTAAAAAACTGATTACTTTTTAAAATATTTGAAGTAGTTCCGTATAAAATGTACTTAAGCGGCAGAAAAGCGCTACTGGCGTGGGTGCCTACAGGCCTCTACCACACCATTCAGTACTCATAAATGGCTTAGTTATAGTGCTATAATAACGTTTTTGTTATATTTTATTGATTATATTAACGAACAAATATTAATACAATAATTTAATTGTAAAAAATTGTTTTGTTTTTTAATTTATTATTTTTGTTTTTATTTTTCATTATTATTTTTTTTTTATTTTAACTTCATTTATTCTATACGGAGATCGCTTAAGAAGGCCTCTATTATAAAAATTATAAAATTATAATAATAAAACTTAATTAAAAAATACTTAAAATACTTCGCCCTTTCCATATTTCATTTGTGCAGAGGGAATAATGCACTTTAATATTAAAAGTTTCTATTTTTTATGATATGGTCCAACTTCCGAATAAAATAAAGGAAATAAAAATAGTTTTTTTAATAGCGATATATGAATTTTACTAAACAATCCATCACCTATTCATTAAAAGTAGTTCAGATTAGGTATATATTACTTTAGTTTATAAAACAGATATTAATATGAGTCATTTCCGGGGAAGTATATACAATTTAAATTACCTCTAAGAATCAGTAAATATATAAAACAAAATGTTAAATTGCAAATATTAAATAAAAAAAATAAAGATATTCTGCAAAGTATTTTTTAATTAAGTTTTATTATTATAATTTTATAATTTTTATAATAGAGGCCTTCTTAAGCGATCTCCGTATAGAATAAATGAAGTTAAATTAAAAAAAAATAATAATGAAAAATAAAAACAAAAATAATAAATTAAAAAAAAAACAATTTTTTACAATTATATTATTGTATTAATATTTGTTCGTTAATATAATCAATAAAATATAACAAAAACGTTATTATAGCACTATAACTAAGCCATTTATGAGTACTGAGTGGTGTGGTAGAGGCCTGTAGGCACCCACGCCAGTAGCGCTTTTCTGCCGCTTAAGTACATTTTATACGAAACTACTTCAAATATTTTAAAAAGTAATCAGTTTTTTAGAAAGAGAAACGTATTCTCCAGATGTTTTATTTCAGCACGTTTTGCATTATTGTTGACCGTTTAATTACAAACGACGCTTGATTTTCAACTTGAAAATGTTTTTGTAAAAAAAATTGACTTTACCGATTTTTTTTAATGCCTAAGCCAATTAGTTTTTAATATTTCTTCATGTTTTATTATTCTCTGACTATCCAGCTTTAATAAAAGACCAACTATAATGAAATTAAGCCAAATGCTGATTCTCAGTAACAAAAAAACTAACTAAAGTCAAAGTCGTCAATCCGCCATGTTTGGACGCCATTTTGGGGCAGTTCGTTCACTTTTTTTTGTGGGAACATTGGCTTTTTTTTAATAAATTGTCACAAGGAACACAACGATATGCAATTTATAGGGATGTGGGGGGGGGGTGCACGGTAAGGGGGTCTGGCCCACCGTGTATCATATCTTTATTTTTTTATTATTATTTTTTCTCACCAAACACCCCTCTTTAAATGTTAATAATAAAATGTTTATTTTTTTGGAAAAGGCCAAGAGAAAATTGTCACAGAAATGTATATAATTTGTATATTGTGTATTTTGCGCCAGCCCAGCAGTAATAACCAGTCTTGGGTATTAATAGATCAAAATACTGCGATAAGACCGCCGGGATTCAATCAGAATCGAGCTTTCATTGACGCAGGATCTATATATTTGGTAATTCGATAAAGCACTAAATTTTTTGACAATTAAAGCCGTTTGCCATCAATCCACCATCAAAACAAAAGCTTTATTTGCTTTTAAACAATCCCTATCTAGTTTAACTCACCCCTACAATCCCTCTCGAAGGTTGAAGCGGCAGTGGTCCAGCGATCTTTTGTAGTACATATCTTGGAGGAGTTCTGGCAATGGCCAGATTCTCCACTCAAGACATGTGTGTATGTAGCTAAAGCGCTTTCGTTCAAACTCCACTGGCTTTAGCACCAGTGACGAGTTTAAGAGAGTAGCGCACTGATTTCTTGGATTCCTGCTTTTACTTCTATAGTTATAAGGGAGAAGCCGGGCTTGGGGTTTCTTGCCTGGTTGTATATCATGTATATAGGTATGACTGTGTTTTTATGTTTTTGACTTACTTATCTTTAGGTTATTTTATTTTTACTGCACATAGTTTTTAGATTATTAATTAGTTATTATTCTACTTTTGTTAATTTTATATTTTCTGTATGTATGGTGTGAATGTGTTCACATATCACAATAATTATTGCCCACGTTACAAATTATTAAATTTCTAAATAAAAAAATAAACCAAAATCGTAAATTATTAACAATAACAACACTGGGTGTTTTCTAGAAGTTATAGAGAATATCTTTCGAGAGGCGCAGCTAACCCATAATTCCTCAAAACTGTGATCGTTTTGTTCTTTATTTCTTCGACATTATACTTTTATAATAGGTTAAATCTGTTATGTGAGCAAGCAATGGGTAGTATTATGAACAATTATTAGTGATGAAGTTGTGCTTGATCTTGGAAAACGTTATACGAATAGATCAGGCTGGTAATTTCCATCAAACGATTTTAAACAAGGTATAGATAGAACCATTCTGTGTCCCGTAGGCAAAGGACGCCTTGTTTATTTTTTTATTCAATAATTTAGTAACCAAGAAAAAAATTTTATTAGCTCAAAGTTGTGGAAAATTGGCTCTCCAGAACAAATACAAAATTGTACATAATGTTTTCTACTTCCGGGGTAAATAATGTTTCCTTATTTGATTAATCATACTTTTGACCCTTCTATATTCCAATGCGGTTCCTTGTCCAATAAATTGATCTCATTTCAATATATGTCTTCGTTCCCATCAATCAATTCTTGTTAATCAACATACGGATTTCTCGAAACACACCTTTCAATTCTCGATTATCTAATTAGATATCACAAATTTATTACTTACAGTTTGATCAAAGCTAGTTTTGATTAATTACTTATTGATAAGTATTTGAAATAATTCAACGCAGAAATTAAATAATATGCGTTGAAATTTAACTTAGCTATTAGCTGAAGATGTGAAGGAAAAAAAAAAACTGCTTTTAAAAACTTATGCTACAGGCCACACTCACTGAATTATTTGGATGAAAACTAAAACATTTAAAAATATAATGTAAGTTGGAATCAATGCATACGAAAACAGTTTGAAACATATGATACAAATCATGTCTTCTTTTTTTTTTTTTTTAAATTGCAATATGTTAAATATCCCAATATAATACAACTGTTAATAATTAAATTATAATAATTGCACTAAAAAATATATTGCTTCTGATACATCCATAAATATAATTTATATAGTTAAAATATAAAATAATATTACTTTTAAAATTATGAGAATAATTGAGCATGGTTTCTTTTAAGTAGTAATATCACTTGTAATATTTACCCAACATGGACAATTCATGGTTACTTTGTTTTATTTAATTTCATTTAACTATTTCTCAAATATTTCACATCACTTATTTTTTTATTTCGTAATTATTACTATAGTCAAAATAATGATGGAACATAAGTGATATCAATTTTAATCAATATGAAAAAAAATTATCCTAACTTGACTTTTATACAATTATTCTAACATTTAAATTCCAAGGAGTAGAATAATTGTAAATTAATAATTGATTCAGCTAGTTGCTAACTTTAATGGTAGGTATATTATGTTTCTTTATAAGAATTGATCTCACAAATATATTTTCCATTTATCAACGGGTATACTTTAAACAAAGAAAGGTAATACCAGCGAACTTGTACCTCTATAACAAAGGTATTCCCATATTAAAACGTAGTATAAATATATTTATCTCTAGAAAATATACTAACAATAACAATAAATTGATCCTGTATAATGTTTATTCAAGATGTTTCAACACTTCGACCGTACTGTATAGTGAAACTGATATTCTTGTACCTCCGTTCCCTAAATATGTTACTGAAGGAGATGTAATGTGGATTAAAAATGTAGGCGACAGAATCTACTACAATGAAGTGGTCTGCTACGTTGAAACCGAAAAGTTGGTTTTGGAAGTGCGTTCGCCAGGAGACGGCATAATACTCTCAAGATATGTAGATAACGGACAAATTGTAAAGGCTAAACAGAAAATATTTAAAATAAAATTTCGGGCGAATCAAAGTGGAACGAAAAAAAAAGAAAACTTATTCGAGGTCAAACCAATCCTGGAAAAAGTCCCTGTTCCAATTGAAGAACCACCACTGCCATCTGAATCGAAACCTCAGCCACAAACACCCGAACCCTTTATCGAAAACTCTTTGCAGATACAAAGAAAAAAGAGATCTTTTGAACCTTCTGAAGTCAAAATTGACACCAAAATTTTTCCTATGCGAAATTCTAGAAATGAATATAAAGATAAACTGAGTGAAAATTTATTCGATATCAAACCAATCCTGGAAAAAGTCCTTGTGCCAATTGAAGAACCACCACTGCCATCTAAGTCGAAACCTCAACCACAAACATCCGAACCCTTGAGCGAAAACTCTTTGCAGATACAAAGAAAAAATAGATCTTTTGAACCTTCTGAAGTCAAAATTGACCCCAAAATTTCTCCTATGGAAAATTCTAGAAATGAATATAAAGATAAACTGAGTGAAAATTTATTCGATATCAAACCAATCCTGGAAAAAGTCCTTGTGCCAATTGAAGAACCACCACTGCCATCTAAGTCGAAACCTCAACCACAAACATCCCAACCCTTGAGCGAAAACTCTTTGCAGATACAAAGAAAAAAGAGATCGTTTGAACCTTCTGAAGTCAAAATTTTTCCTATGGAATATTTTAGAAATGAATATAAAGTTAAACTGACTGAAAATGTATTCGATATCAAACCAATCCTGGAAAAAGTCCTTGTGACAATTGAAGAATCACCACTGCCATCTAAATCGAAACCTCAACCACCAACATTCGAACCCTTGAGCGAAAACTCTTTGCAGATACAAAAAAAAAAGATATCGGTTAAATCTTCTGAAGTCAAAATTGACCGCAAAATTTCTCTTAAGGAAAATTCGAGAAATGAATATAAAGTTAAACTGACTGAAACAAGGAAAATGACTGCTGAGAGGAGAAAAAAAACACAAAACGAGGCAGTCTTGCTGACTATTTTCAATGAAGTTGATATGTCAAATACGATAGCTTTCAGAAAGGCACATCAAGAATCCCTTAAGAAGAAATATGGAATCAATATAGGCTTCATTTCGACGTTTATTAAAGCAGCGTCGTATGCACTCCAGGATCAGCCGATAGTCAATGCCTGTATAATAGGAAACGAAATAGTTTACAGAGACTATATAGACATTTCAATAGCAGCCGCTACACCGAATGGTTTGGCCAGACCGGTTATAAGAGATGTTTCTTTCATGAACTTTGTTGAAATCGAAAACAGGATCAAAGACTTAACTGAAAAGGCTTTGAAAGGAGAATTATCCGATGATGATATTTATGGAGGTACTTTTTCTGTAAGCAATAGCGGAGTTTTTAATTCATTTATGGGGACACCGATCATAAATCCCCAACAATCTGCAACTTTGGGAATTAATACAACAGTGGAAAGACCTATGGCTATCAAAGGAAAGGTTGTCATCAGGCCGATGATGTACGTCGCTGTCACATACGATCATCGGCTGATTGAAAATCGTGAAGCAGCTCTTTTCCTTCGAAAAGTAATAAAATGTGTGGAGGAACCATTGATAATGATAACTGGAATATGAGGATTGAATACAAAGATTGCTGTCTAAACACTTTATAATTAAAATTGGTAATAAAAACAAAAACTTTTTTTATTTATAAAACATATGATCAATAACTTGTGTTGAACTAAGTTTCTTGATTTTCGTTCCACATCATACAGCAGTGGAAGTAATGTTTATTTCTCATACTGTTCAGAAACCGTTTTCTAATGAGTTGATAATAGCCGTATTTTAAATATAGCTCTTCTAAAGTTAACAGTGACCCGGGAATGAAATCTGGCAACTTCACCAAGAGGTCAAAGATATTGGATTGTGGGTCACACATTTCAACTTTTTTTTTTTTAACATTGAAAAATATTGGATAGGTATCCCGACGTTCATTCTAATGAACAAAAATATAAAAATATAAGAAAAAATATATAATTTAAGAAACCATTTTTCTTTTTTTTTTCCTTTGTTTTGTCCAGATTTCTAGTTTTTTTTTATAAACCAATCAATTTCTTTTATAAGAATTTTTATTGAAATAGAAAATATAAATTTTAGTTCTTAATTATCTTGGAGGATTTTTTTTTTCCGGATGATAAATAAAGCAATAACACCTCTTTAGGATTTTATTCAATTCAAAGTTGGAAAGCTGCATTACTGCTCTTGCAATTCTTATCAACAGCTTATAGAATTTAATCCTTTGTATAAGATATATTTTTTTTTTTTTGCACTTACATATATTTATCCGCACCTGTCAATTATAACTATTGACAATCAGCAGATGAGCTGGCACAGTCATGAGAAAATAAAAAAATAAATAAAATAAAAAGGCTTGATAGGTATAAGGATGTATAAGATATAAATAAAGAAAAACGTCTCAAAAAGTCCAGTCTGTGCCATTTTGTTTAGTCTGTATAAAAATTTGGCTATTTCGAATAAAATATTTAAATTTTTCTTTAATATTTCCTTGTTTATTATGAATTATTTATTAATTAGGCGAAATAAAAATCCTCCAAGGAAGTGAGTAACGAAAATTTATATTTTTTTTATTTCAATAAACATTCGTACTTAAAAGTTAAAAGGGGACTTTAACTTACTATAGTGACTTCTGATATTTTTTTTATTTGTGATACATGTGAACTCATTCCATACCAATAATAATATATATTAATCTAGATAACCGGGCGAAGCAAAGCCAAACAACAACATGACAGTTGTGAACTTATATAAATTTTTTTTTTCTCGATTCTGAAAACCAATGAGAACAAACGCCTGGCATAATCGTCCAACATTTTTTGATGAAGAATCACAAACAAAAAGATGGGTGAAATCGGTGACCCATTGGCTATGACATTCCATAGATTTTTTTTTTAATCTAAATTGACACTATCAAAAATTTATTCCAGAGATCTAAATCACTTGAAACACCAAATGTGTTCCTAACAGGTTAAATTACAGAACACAACCTAACACAGTTAAAATATTCAAAATAATGGATAAAACATAGATTAAGAACTGAGACAAACCAAAATCAGCTGGAAAATTATATTATTCTAATACAATTAAAACAGTTGTATCACTTAGCAGGACACCAGATAAATACTACCAACTCACAAATATATATATATATATATATATATATAATTCTAATTTGTGATACATTTTTGAGCTGAAAATTTTATTTTTTAAATTATTTTCCACAATAAAATTTAAAATATAATAAAATCGTTTATTCAAAGAAGCTAAGGTAGTTAACCAACAAACTTCTTGTTTTAATTTTTTTTAATAGTAACAGTGTTGGCAGCCTTGGGCATTTCAAGGTTACATAGTAGTGGAAATTTTAGTTATAATTGGCTTTGTTCTAAAATTTAACGTATCTAATTTATTTTGCATTCTAACTTTATAATTACTGATTTGTATGATGAAAATTTTATTGTAACGTAAGTAATATCAACATAAATCATTCAGAAAATAATAGCGAATACTAACAGAATAATGACATAAAGTTTCTTTTTTATGTAAAAAGTCACACGAATGCGTTGAATTGAATGCTATATTGTATGGAATGAAATTTTATAAGGTTGATGTGCAAATTTAGAGCTCTTATGGCAGCTATACTATATTCCTTCATAAGAATACCTCTCAAAAATGGTATTGCTAATCGGATTTACATTCAAAACAAAAACATAATACCGGCAGGCATCAATTGCTGTAAAGATAAATCTTTATCATATAAGAGGTATATGTATGAGGCTATGTGCAACTGTAGACCAAACTTTAATAGAAATAATAATATTAACTTATTCAATGTATATTCAAGATGTTGTAAAAATTCAAATGTGAATCGTACAGAATGTGACGTAGTTGTACCAGAATTTCCAAATAGTGTACCCGTAGGAATAATTAGATGGGTTAAAAAAGTAGGGGACGGAGTTGCAGTAGGAGAAACAGTGTGCTTAATCGAGACGAAAAATACTGTAATTGAAATACCTTCACCATTCGATGGTAAGCTGAGGTCAAAATATGTGAAAGATGGAACAGTTGTTAGTTCTACAGATAAAATTTTTCGAATAAAATTCAGACCTGGTGAGAAAAATGAAAGATCGAAATTTGGCAATCTATCAGCGGAAACTTCAAAAAGTGAGCATGTCCCTAAAATCAATATGGAAAATCAGCCCGCTATTAAAATCGAAATGCTGTCGAAACATGTTACAAAGCCGCCATCTTTTGAAAATTCACTTTTTGTACACCTCCGAAACTCCGTTCGGAAAATTGTAAGTACCAGAAGTGAATTTGTAGTAAGAATGACTAAATTAAGAAAAAAGAGTGCAGAAAGGTTAAAACAGTCGCAGAATGAGGCTGTAATGCAAACTATATTCAACGAGATTGATATGTCGACTGTAATAGCCTTTAGGAAAGCACATCAACAAGATTTTAAAAAGAAGTATGGAATCAAAATGGGTTTTATGTCCACATTCCTTAAAGCAGCCGCATATGCACTTCAAGATCATCCGATAGTCAATGCCTATATAAAGGGAAACGAAATTATTTACAGAAACTACATAGATATATCTGTACCAGTTGCCATTCCTGCAGGTTTAGTAGTTCCGGTGATAAGAAATGTTCCCAATAAGAGCTTTGCGGATATTGAAAGAGCAATATGTTATTTTCGCGAAAAGGGCAAAAAAGGAAAATTGTCATTAAAAGATATGAATGGGGGAACTTTTACAATATGTAATGTGGGAGTTTTCGGTTCGCTTGGCGGCATACCAATCATAAACCCTCCCCAATCAGCTATTTTAGGAATGCACGCTGTAACTGAAAGACCCGTGGCTATGAGAGGATATGTTATCATCAGGCCGATGATGTATGTAGCTCTGACCTTCGACAATCGGTTGATTGACGGCCGAGAAGCTGTTTTATTCCTTCGAAAAATTAAAAAAATTGTTGAAGATCCAATGATCATGATAACTGGAGTGTGAGATTCAAGAAATGTGTCTAAACCATTAAAAGTAACAAGTGTTTTAATATTACAGTACTTTTTTTTAAATAAAAACATATGATCGAAAATCTTTATACATAATAATATTTTTAATCATTCTATTATTCTATGATAAAGTCTGAGTGCAAATAATCTGGTAAAAAATGTTCTAATATGAAAAATGGGTTTTTGTATTTGTTTAGGCAACTTTTCTAAGTAAGGCAAATAACTCTCATGAGTTATTCAAAATCATGGATCACATTCTATTTTTATGCAGTGGACTGTATCTTAATGGATTGGTAGGTTATAATGATTGTGCAAAAAATATCTTACCGTCTTTATGCCAGCTTACATCTTTTGGTTACCTGGAGGGTCCTCAGGTTGCTGATATGTCCAGAGTCGCTGCCAGAAGAAAAGCCGAGGAAACTAGCCATTCTTGAGGCTTAAGTGTTACTTTTATCTTTCAGATCTGCCCCCACCACTCGCCTGGTAACGCGGTAAATTCAAACCATTTCTTGTCACAAACAGTATTGGAATTACGATTTCGCCTTAATATTTATAAATTAGATGATCATTTATAATCTCATCAGTAAGGAATTTAGAGACTACATCAATATAAATTTTTAAATATTATTCCCTAATAATTTCTCTGCTGAAAAATGTTAAAATTATCAAAAAATATTATGGAGATGATGTATGGTCGATTATTCTTAAAAATAAGGATAAGCTGTTAGTACAACATAAAAACAATATAATATATTTTTATAATTATTGCCGAAGTTTCTGCTTATGAAATAGGTCGGTAATCTTGATGCTTTATTTCATAATATACTTAGAAAATAATTTAACTATTAATTATAACGCAATTAAAAAGGTGAAAAATCATTCCAGCCCTTGTCAATAGGTTTTGTCATTAACATAAAAAAATACATTAACTGAAAATTGAAGTTCTGCCACACCCTCAATATTCATCTGACCCGTCTTCAAGTGACAACCATTTTTCAGAGTATTTGATACATTACTGCATTAAAAAATAAAATGGCAATTTGAAAACAAGGTAAAATTTTCAAAGCCATAAACTTTCTTTGAACAAGATATAAAAACTCAATATAGGAAGAAGAGACAAATCACATTCTAGTAAGCATTTTTATCTTTTTATTTAATGAGATCAGCCTTTCCTGGTCCTTAATATCAGTAATGGGGCTGAATGCGAGGCGCTGGGATCTCCTAGAGTCTCTTTTCATTCCACGAATGGGGAGAAAGGCTTTGCTCGGATTTCTTCTGAGTGAATGGATTCTGTAAATATTGTACAGTATGCATGTGTTTTAGTTGTTATTTTGATTAGTTTAGTTCTTTTGTTTATATACATTTACTTTTATTATTATTAGTCTAGGTATTATTTATTTCTATTTATTGTAAATAGAGTGTGAATGTGCTCCCTCAACACCATTATAAATGTCCTTAATTGTGACAGATTGTAATATTTCTGAATAAACAAAAAAATGAGATGGAAGCGGGATAGCTCAGCGATTAAGGCACCGCTCTTTTATGATCCTTGTCGATACCGTAACTCTTTGCTGTGATTACATGCTTTCAATTACTCACTTTTAGTACGATATTTTGAAAGCTCATCATGATCCCACATTAACTTATGTTAGTCTTTCCTCCCTTATTAACACAGAAGAAAAAAAACACTGCTTTGGATGATAAAATGTCATTTTGAAATATTTTAAGTTTACTCTTTACTAACCTTCAATAGTAGTATTTATACTTGAATATTTAGTAATTATTATTGTATGTAATTATATTTAGTAATTATGGTTACGTTAATTTATGAAAACATTGATTAGAATTAACATTAAAATTTCTTTCATTATTTAAAAAAATTAGACCTGAAACATTTAATATAATGGTCATAGGTAATAAAATTTTGAACTGATTAATAATTGTAATTCGGGCTCACTAATTTAAAATAACAAACGGAATTTTTTAATTTTAAATTGATTTAAAAAAATAGATTCTATTGATTATTTCTTTTTCACTTTTGTTACTCAAAATGGTCAACAATCTCACCATTGCCCTCAAACGTTATTCATCAGCTATCCACTTTACTATGGACTGTTCAGATCTTTAAAGCTGCAGTCTGCAATGATTCTTGCTGGTATTTTAATGTGAATTTACATTTTGAAATATCACAACCATCAATATTTTTTTTTTAGAAAAATTTAATTAAAAATGAATATTTAATTTTTTTTTAATTTATTTTATTCATGAAATTTACAACTATATAAAATAAAAACATGAAATGAATAGGCTTGTGGGGAAACTACCCATCGTCGCACTAAGACAATTTTTAAAGCATTTTTTTTTTTTTTTTCATTTCAATCATCATAAATCTCTTATTTCATATAATAATTACATCATTTTTATGCTATTACATCATAATAACTGTATGACTTTTTTGCTCACTCATTGTAAATATTAAATTCTAACATGATGTATTTATTGTCTAATCGAAATATCTGTAACGTCTGACAACTTTGATTACAACCGTGTGAAAATGTTAGACGCACTTATTTTTACTTTCAATTATCTATATATGAAATATTGTGATTGAAAATATTATGAAATATTGAAAATTTTCGGATCTGAGTTTTCAACGGAATTGCATGTTTTGAAGTCTCATGAGTCTAAATAACCAAGTCCCGCAAAATGGTCTGTGTATGTGTGTTCCTGTTTTGCGTATGTATCGATGTGAACAGTCCAGCTAAAAAACAAATAGTCGTATGAAAGTGAAATTGCGTATTTAAGGTTTACATAGACCTGGGACGTTACAGCAACTTTTTAGTCAAAATCAGCTAACCGGAATTGGCACTTTACATTATCGATTTTACACATTTTTTACGATTCAATCAAAAACGGCTGAAACGATTTATATTAAATTCATTGTAACTTTGTAAAATTAAGCATTTTTTAATATGATGTAGGTTTTATTCTCATTGATGTTCTCTAACAGGGCTTAAATGTCTAATTTTCAACATTTCTTTCACTAAAGTACATTATATTTTTTTTTATTTGAAATAGTTAACCACTTCGCAATTAACTCTGATTTAAAGAATTGTTAAATATAAAATATGAAAGAATTTGATAATTAACTAAAGGAGGAATAGAAATAAGAGATCGTAGCGAAGAATATTTGTAATATGGGGACCAAAGAAATACGAGCGCGCCCGAGCTCACCCGAGAGATTAGAACAGGCTTCCATACATAACAGATTGAGACAATATTATATATATAAATATATATATATATATATATATATATATATATATATATATATATATATATATATATATATATATATATGTGTATGTATGTATGTATGTATGTATGTATGTATATATATATATAAACATATGCGGTTTTCATAAATGTTATCGTATGTATTATTTAATATTTAATTGTACAGATTATAGCGAAATAAAAAGTAAAATTCGTAAATGCACCGATACATAAACAAATAAAAATGCCGACAATAAATGAAATATATATGCACAATATTTCTCACTTCTTTGGTGCATACTATTTATTTTCATGTTCATTTATTTTCAGCCAATTTGACACCAATTTTTAATTTTGTCAAATTAATGACTACAACATCCCAAATAGGACGTTTTGGCTCGTCGAGCCATTTTCAAGTCTAAATACACATCATTTACTTGTCCTTTTCACTTATACGAATTGCATGCGTCTACTCATAATACAATTTTTTATACTTGTCATGTTCACCTTATCATGTGTCACCCACATGTCATCAGTCTCATTTCTATTCAGTGAAAATGGATCAAAGAGCCAAAACGTCGTAATTGTGATGTTGTAGTCATTAAGTTGACAAAATTAAAAATTGGTATAAAATTGGCTAAAAATAAATAAACTGAAAAAAAAAATATATATATATATATGAATATGGAATATAAATAAATCTGGCGGAGGCCTTCTTTATCCAGTGGCACTCTTGCCGAAATAAAAATATTTTGTTAATTATTCGCAGTTAATTATTTATTATAATCAATTAAATAACTGAAATATGCAGTTGTAGAAGGAATTATCTAAGCTATAAAAACGTACGGTAATTAATTTGTTTTAAATAATGTTTCATAGAGTCTGCAATTTTTAATTTCACTTCCCTTTATCTGATATACTTATTTCTGCTAGGAAGAGGGTGTTAAGTGCAATGTGTGTGACGCGAGCACCGTACCAGATTTTTATAATAGATAATTTTTGCAAGATAACCAGGCTTTTTATATTTTTACGACGAAAATTTTAAATGTTTCTTCTACATTATTTTATATAGGATCTCGATGTAAAGTAGGTAAAATATACATTCTCGTTTAATAGTTTTAAGTATAGTTACTTATAATGTTTATAAAGACCAATATTTGCATAAATAAATGCGTCACCTCATCAAACAGGGGGAAAAATGCTGAATATTGAAGTATTGACCCTTGTGGAAAAAGGGGTTGAATTTTCCACAACAGCAGCTTTTATGAGGACGCCTTTGAAGTCCGGAGTAATGTTAATAAGTACTGAAGCAAAGAGGTTAAGAGTATATTGGCCTGCTTCATCTACTCCCTCCCCCTTACACAAATAACTTACCCATGGAAAATGGGAAATGTGGTTTGTGGAAACAGTGTTTAAAATTTCATGCAATCTCTTTCCCACCCTAATACTTGGATACTACATTTTTTGAGTAGTCTATTTAAATATTAATTGGGGAAAGGGAAGACTACTATTTTATTTTCCTTTATTCTTACTTGCTTATTTTGCGGAGGGATATTATTCAAATAAAATTTTAAAATAAAAGCAAATCATGATTCTGAATTTATTCGTAGCGTCTTTTATGTACTTACTGCAAATATAAACCACTTTAGCATGTTACTTATATATATATATATATATATATATATTATATATATATATATATATATATATATATATATA